CCAATTATCCCGCCGTTATCCGAACGTTATCCGGAACGTTATCCACCTTCGCCCACCCGGGACCTTCACGGAACAGCCCTCCGCCGCCATCATCCGAATCACAAGCGAACCCTTGAGCCCCCGAAGAGAGGGCCGGCCGTCAGAGAGCGGCGCTACTCCCGGCGTGGAACCCACCCCGGCTAGGTAACCGTTGTTGTCGCCTTTTACTGCAAACGAAGTGATTCCCTCCTCGTAAACGCGACGTCTTTACAGATTACACGGCCCGGATACGCCGGGGGTCGCCTTTTCTTCCCTCCTGTTTGCTTTTTTGCTCGCGCGACGCTGGGGACCCGGCGTGTAGCGTTAAATTGGTCGGGTGGTTTTAGGCGTATCGTAACGCGGCCACCCTTGTTTCGTTTCGATGAGTATCTGATCGTCTTGCCGCGACAGTTTTTGGGCAGAAGCCGGTTTCAGGGGAAGTTATTGTTTTGAGATTCACGCGGAGTTTCCAGTGATTCTGGATTTGAGTATACTTTAGTGGTGTTTATAGTGTTCTTTCTAGGAGAATTCTATGCGTTCTAGTTGTTGAATCATTGTTTATTTGTGTAGGAAAATTGTAGTGAAATTTTGTCCTGTGATATTTGATTCCCGAGGTAATCGTGTTTGGAAGCTTGAGATACGGTGAGTAGGATGAAGTGTCCGATCGTGATTTACTGTTTCTACTTTTAGGGGCTAACGCATGTGTATTGACGTTTCTGTCGATTACCTCGAGAACGAAATTTCATAGGAGAAAGTGTTTATATAGTATAAATATTAATGGAATGAGTGACGAGTCTAAACGAGTCCAGGGATAATCGGCTTTCGCCAAAGGAACAAGGCTAGAAATGTTTTGGTGCTAATATGATGAACCTTTTATTGATAAATGATCAAGATGGGTGCGGCACTTGGGAACGCGATCACTTCCTAAGCACCCGTTACATGAATTCAAACGGGCAACACGTCACGGTCAATTGCCTGGGACGAATCGAATTAACGGGCGACGTGATTGCCAGTTTCTAAAAGTTTATCATTCAAATAAACGTCTTACATCTAATAAGAGAAACTTCAACCGAGCACTATACTATTTTCCTGTTTATCTAACTGAATCAACGAACAATAAACTCCTAAACTATAGAAAGGTTAAAACAGTACAATCAACTAAACTAAAAAAATCGAGTAATTCCCCTGGCGAAAGGAAGTATTCGTACAATCATTGAAAGGGGACTACATTAAGAATATAAAAAGTTTTCCGTTTATAGGTAGAAGATACTTAAAATGATTAAACGCGAGAGAACATAAAACATCGTTGTGTTTTTCCGTATGAACGTTACAAAGGATTATAAAACTACGCAGTAAACGATAAATCATTGTATAAAAACCTACGAGAGGCTGCGTTCGATAACACGTGAACGCGAAAGTTAAAAAAAAGAAATGAGAAAGAAAGGAAGTATTAAAAGGGGATTAGAAAGTAAGCTTAATAGGGATAATTATGCCGTTTCGACGAACGCTCCTATCGGATGGTGTTCCTTCGTTTCGACGCGCGCATCGATCTACGTCAAGCGATAAGGACCGGGTGTGTAACCCTCGTGATAAGCCGGATAAACGTATCCGTGATGCATGCCCGGCACAGGTGACATGAAATTATACGCGTCTTCGGTGTTGTATGTGTGTGTGTAAGGATCTGTTGACAGAATGGGGCTCGTCTTACCGGCTCGATTGCTCTGGTCGATCATTGGCTGGACGATTCTACGCCTCGCGTTGATGAACCTGGAACACAGAAAACGGAGGGGTTCAATAAAATATTGTACACTTTATAAATCGAAGTTTCACTTCGAAAATATCTTCTATCAGAATTTTCACCCCATTTAAATTACTTGATATTCCGCCGATTAATCTATAATTGTAACGGATTCTTTCTTATTTTAAGGTAATACAATATTAGAGACTTCGTACGGATTTAGATTTACAGAAAAAGACTTACCACGTTTCTAATAAATTGGAACAATGAATTCTGAATGAGAACGTCGCGTTCCAATATCTCTCGAGTTTTCTATTATAAATTTCACCGACAGGAGGACATTAATATTCCGTCGGTTAAACTACTTGGTATTCTATAGGTTAATCTATAATTGTAACAGACTCTTTCTTATTTTAAAGCAATACAATATTAGAGACTTCGTACGAATTTAGATTTACAGAAAAAGACATACGCTTTTAATAAATTGGAATAATAAAAAATTGAGTGAGAACGTTGCGTTCCAAAATCTCTCGAGTTTTGTACTATAAATTTCGTCGACATCAAGACATTAATTTCTCCTCGGTTAACTGTGGGATGTTTCATTAGGAGTCGTTATTTCTATGAAGCGTAACCAAGCATTAAATACATATCTTTAGCAAGTATTTGAGATTCTAAGGTTCACAGGTGATCGGGGAATAGACAGCTCGAAAGAAGTAAGCCGGAACGGTGAAGGGTTAACGTCAGCAGATAATCTAAATGGAAGCGCAGTCATTTAGTACCACGAACTATGTAAATCTCTGTCCAACGTTAGTAGCGAGGAATCTATTCGGGTAATCAGAGATAACGATTCCAGTCAGGTAGCCAGACGTATTCATGACTCATTATGTAGATCAGTGGATCACGGGTAGCAGGCATTAGGCGATCGCCGCGATAAGGTCGAAAGCTCGGTCAGAATGCGCGTACGTACGTCGATGTATCGTTCATCTCAATTTGGCCGGCCGGGGCGGCACCGTCGATATTTCATCGGCGTAAGGTCGGTAATTGTCGGACGTAATTTCCGGCCGAATCGTGTATGTTAATTTGACGAAGTGGCCGAGCGAAATGCACGGGAGAAAGAGGGCTACAGGTGCGCGCCGCTGCGCCCAATCAGAACTCGTCCTATCGATCCTACTCGTGTACACGTCAAAGTCATATCCCCTGTCGTTCATTGGCAACGTCGAACATTCGGACCGCCGCGCTATTTTTCTAAGACATTCAGGGAATCGATGCATTAATCGCATAAGAAGCATTTCGATTCGTGACAGTAGAGAAAATAACTGTACATAGTTTCCGCGAAGAATCAACTGAATTATTATTTGTACATCTAGAAGTATATTTCTCCATTCTAACGAATATCCAATTGTTACCGTTTCACTCATCGAGTAAAAAGCATATCTCTTCAGTCTGACCAGTGACAAGCTCATACTACTGAAAGCTATACTCTGCACTTTCATCACAGCCGTCCGATGTCTGCTCTGTGATACGAGTATTATTTGAACTAGCGACCTCCGAACGCTACGTAAAAATGGAAGTAAGATCATGCTTCCAGATATGAAAATGAATTATTACAGGCATTAACCCTATTCGCGGTGCATTGCGTTTATCGTCTCGACGTCTAAACCCGAGATTACCCGACTTGCGCTCGAAAGAATCGAACCACCTAGGAATTGACAAAAATAAATACATTCCTGTCCATCCTACAGCAAAGTGACTGCCTAGCGGAACCGACAGGCCCGGAAACAAAAAGAGCATCAGCCGAACCCAGCGAACCATTCGAAAAGTCTAACCGAGTAAACTGTTTCAATTCGCAAGCGTGAACGCGCGCTGGAAATGTTCGAAAAAGCAGCCGGAGGGCAGGCGTCGTCCCTCGAACGCGCGCGCGGAAACTCGAGCACGACCTATTATCTCGCTAACAACGGGGGAAAAAGGGGGCGGCGTGTTGTCGGGAGGAGCGTAACACGGGGCAAGAAGCGACCCGGCATCCTCGATACGTCATTAGCCACGCTGAAGGAGCTTCCGTGCGAGCGCTTTCCAAACAATAGATCTGCGGTCTATTTCGAGGCTGGTGGAGGTCCAACCCCGAGGGGGTGGCAGCGCCGACTGCGGGGAGGGGAGGGCGGCCGTCGGAGAACGGAGAAGATCGCGAGGGATGGCGGGCTGGAAGGAACGAGGAGGAGAGAAAGGAAGACAGGCGAAAGGGCGTACGTCAGCCGACGTCAGCGTCGCGGCGCCCTAATGGGCGCAGACGCCGGAAGTGATTGGGTTTCTGCTCGACTGACTCGAGAGCACACCCCCTTCCCGTCGCGGGGAACCATGGCGAACGGGGGATGAAGAGGGCGCAGCCGGCGAGAGGAAGCGGCGGCAGCTGCAGCCCCTCTTGTTTCGCGGCGCATCTTTCTTGTCTCCTGGACGACTCCCAGCTCAGCCTTATGAATAATAATTACCGAACTCCCGATGCACGGAGCCCGGGACGCGAACGAAGCCCCGTCGGAACCGGAGGAGCTGCGACAGAGGACTTCGCGTTCGATTAACGCGACCGGCCACTGCTCGACGGGTGTATCGATGCTGATGCACGAGAGCTCTTCAGGGGAGGATTGGAAGCGTGTTCCTATTGCGTGACGGCTGACGGAGGGGGATTATTGTGTAGAAACACTGATGCAGTTTGGAGACTTTGAGATTTAGGTGGTTGATCATTGTACATTTCCTTTGTTTTTCGAAATCGCCTTTAATCATTGATCTGGGGTGCCATCTGACCTCTCTGATGCGAAGGGTTGAGGTAGTAATGCAGAGATTTTTGGAAATCGCCATCTCTGTTATTAATTGATCTGGGATATCATCTGACCTCTCTAATGCAAAGGGAAGTATGCTAGTAGTCCAAAGAGAAGTAGATTGCAATGATATATCAAGCAAACCGCGTTGTATTTCGTCGAGCTCCAGTTTCCCATACTCCAGCGCGCGCGTCGTCGAACATAAACAGTGGCCATCGAATTGCAAATTTACACCCCTTTTAGAATGCCCGGAACGGAACACCGAGGACCGTGCATCGCAGCCTGTCCAGCCAGAAACGAGTCGAACGAGTACATAAACGGCAGGAGGATCGCGGCAACCGACTCCCTTCAAAGTCAAGGCCTCGGCTATCGTTGGTTGGAAGAGTATCCCTGCTTGTATAAACCGAGGGCCCGTTCCCAGCCCCCAGATACTCCTAAACGCCTCTGGTTCCCCTTTGGCGGCGTAGGCAGCGTGTCACAGCCAGCTGACTACCGTCGGCCCACCCCCGCGCTGCTCGCCCTGGCAACCACCCCCGTGGCTGAAATATCGCCCGAACAATGGCGCGCAGCCCCTGGCCGAAGGAGAACGGGGAGAAGGAGAGAGAGGGAAAGGGAGAGAGGTATAGGCAGTGGCAACTGCCCAATCTTTCCTCTCTTTCCCAGGGACCGGGCAAATATCTTCGCCACCGGAAAACTTAAGCTCGCCGCGCAGAAAACGGACAGGATAAAATTTTACAGTCGAGGTGGCGGCTGGCAAACGACTCGATCGACCCTCCGCGATCCTAGCCGACCCTCTTCGAGACTGGTTGCTCGGTTTCTGCGTTAATTCTTTACGGAATGACATGATATCTTTCCTTGGCAATTTTTTTCGCTCGTCTGGAGTTGCTGGTTGTAATGCAGTAATCGGGGGGGAATCACTATCAAGTATGCAAGATGAAATTCGTAATAGATGCTGTGTTCGAAACACGTTTCTGAAACGTGTTATTTTAATGTTATCCGCAAGACTTCGTGAAACGGAGCGTTGAAAACATTCCAGTGGATTGTTTAAGAGTTAACGTCTTCAGGAATGATACAAGTTATGTACTGCATACGAGTTTTTCCCTTGCACCGTCGATCTTCAAACTTTTTCACCTTCCTCAGGGTTGCGAGTTTCATTCGTGAGCGTCGGACAGGCGTGAACAGTTCCAGGTGCGGTCCGGCGTTGCGTCGATCGAGGAATTAGTTTTTACGGTTATTATCGTGATTAAAAAGGAGACGATGGGAGAAAAAGATCGCGGGACCGGTTACGCGGGGCTGCAATTAAACGCGAGGCTCTATTTTCACGGGAAAGCCCGTCGCTCGGCGAGATGCGCTTTTTACGGCTTTATTATCGCGCGCTATCGTAATGGCCCACTAAAATTATCGGTTTACGATGCAGCGCCGGGATCCAACGTCACCCATCCCACCCACCTCTCGCCGGGGGTGGCCGGAGCATATTGTGGAGCGGGAACCACCCCTGGATGACAAAACACTTTTCACCGCGCCCTCCTCGTGCTTTCAGGATTTTAATGCAGTTTTGATTATGAAGCCGATGGGGGGGCACATCTCGGTTTCGCGGCGTGAAACAAACCCGACAAAACGCGCCCCGTCACGCGAGGGTCTGCCAAACGGCGGCCCTCGTCGCCTCGTCATCGCGCCGATTCCGAATTTGAATTTTTCATCGAGCCCGACGCGACGCGACGCTTTCTGTCCGCGCGGGGACGATTTAATAAACGGATTTAATAAACCCTCTCACCCGTTTCGCGGCAAGGCGGCAACAATTTTTGCCGATAGGGGTGAGCGCACGGTGGAATTGTCTTTGGAAATTCCGTTTCAACTGGAGGAACGATGTGAAACATTTAACCCTCTACGCTCCAGACGTTTTTCACTGGAAATACTCAATATTTCCCAATGAGAATACTTTCTTCCAATATTTCACGTATTGATGCGTCACACAAAGTTTAATAGTAAATATCAAGCTTCACCGTTTTGCTGTGTCAAATCAATTGGCGCCATTGGAGCGCAAAGGGTTAATAAAGTGAAATTCACGTGTGGAACTTCTAAGTCCGTGGAAGGAATTAAAAGTTCTTGAAAAATTCGGAATGATTTTTAGTGAGAGTTTATTAGCGTTTGAAGCGCGTGTTGAGTATCTGAAAGATACAGTTTTCCCCGAGTGAAATGATCATTTCCGTTCGTCGAAAGTC